TGGACAGTAAGGGGTTGTCTCTGTTTTTAGGAGGGGTATGTATGTGTGTAGATTTTATGAGGTTACTGCCCTGGAGGGACTTCTGTCCAACCAGTCTGTCTGTCTCTGTGTCTGTCTCCATCTCTGCCTCCCTCTCCTTTCCCCACTTCCTTCTCTTCCCCTCTTTCTCTTTCTGCCTTGCCCAGGACTGTGTTCTGGGAAAAGATGCAGACTACTGGGTATCTGAAGTTCTATTCCTTTATACTCTAAGCTGCCTCTTGAACACTTTTTCTTGATCAAAGTTCTTAAAATGGTCATCATAATTATAAATCATTAGTGAAGTGATGTTATTTATAAAGATAATAAACAGGAGAATGGGGGCCATGCTGTAGACACGGTAAGCAGTGGGATCCATGTCAGAGGGGAGAAGTCTCTGGTTTAAACCCAGGCAAATCCGCAAAGGATGCAGCAGCTCAATGCGCTACCTCCTGCTCAGCGCTCCACAGCCCAGTGGCTGTGGCCTTTCCAAAGCTTGACTTGACTGCAGTTGCCCACAGGCAGCAAGGTGCAGAGAGATTTCATAGACAAGATGGGCTGAGGGGGCATTCTAAATATTTTGCTAAGTGATTAAAGGACAAGGTTTTTCAAAGAATTTTCTAAAATTTAGGGGAAACTTCTGTACTTCTCAGTCCTAAGATCAATTTGAGGAATGAAATTCTCTTTCTGACACCTGTCCCCTTCCTTTGAACCTCCTTTTTATGAAATACAAACAATGGCAGAGATTAGGACAAATAATTTTGTTAGTAATGACACTGATTTCCAGCATATTTAGAATTTTTTCAAATCTAATCAGAAAATCGGGAGTCCTAAGAAGGGTTCTGAATTTATAGAAAACAAAATGAACTCAGCATTTGAGAAGCTTCAGTTAAAGTGAGAGTAATCAGTGAAAGACTTGTCATTGTAGTCAGAGAGACAACAGCCCTTGCCCTATGGGAGATTTAGGGGACCTCAGAGACACTCATGATTTCTAACTTGAGGGCTTGGGCCTTGGTCAAGAGATGTTCCAGATTAGGTCTTTGGGGATTCCCAAGGTTGGCAAATGCTGAACATTTATGGTGTCTATCTGGATAGCCCCTCAAAGCCTGAGGCATCCATAAGTGGAGCATTGGGAATTGACTGGATCATGCGGATGTGGTACTGTGTTTCAGTGCTGTGAAAGTGATAATGAGTTATTCTGTCCAATTTTGTCATATGCAAATTGGAGCTATTTAGTTATTAAAGTATTTTTAAAAAGTAACAAAACTCCAGTAGTCATTTATACAGCCTGTTTTTAAAAACAATTTTGTACTTTCACTACTCCTGTTCAGTATCATTGTTGAAAGCTTAGCTAGGGAAATTAGGCAAGAGAAAGTAACAGGAGATATACAAATAGAGATAAAAAAAAAAAAGTTAACATTATCTTTATTTGCAGACATTACACTCCTATGCTTCAAATACCCTAAAGACTCCACCACCAGACTTTTAGAGCAATGAATTCATCAAAATCACACAATATAAAATCAAAATTAAAGTCAGTAGCTTTTCTGTATACAACAGTGGACTAGCTGAGAAAGAAATCAAGAAAATAATTCTATTAAATATAGTTTTAAAAAAATAAAGTACCTAAGTATAGTCTAACCAAGGATATTAATGACCTCTACAGTAAAAACTTAAGAGCACTAAAGAAACAAATTGAACAGTAGAATTTGGAAAGACCTCCCATGTTCAAAGATTAGCAGAATTAATATCATTAAGATGGTCACATTATTGAAAGCGATCTACAGATTCAAAGCAATCCCATCAAAGTACAAATGACATCCTTCACAGAACCAGAAAAAATACACTAAATTTTATATGGAAACACACAAATGATCCCTAATAGCCAAAGCAATCCTAAAGAAAAATAAGCAAGGCTGGAGGCATCATAACACTCAAATTCAAGTTGTCCTGCAAAGCCATAATAACAAAAACAACTCTGTACTGGCACAAAAATAGACATATAGGCCATGGAACAGAACAGAGGACCCAGAAATGAACCCATACAACTACAGCCATTCATTCTGGACAAAGGCTTTAAAAATCTATATGGGTAAACAGGCAGCCTTTTTAACAAAGGCTGCTGGGAAAACTGGATAGGCAATTGTGGAAAACTGAAACTAGATCCCTATGCCTCAGGCTATACAAACATTAACTGAAAATAGGCTGAAGACTGCTACCAGAAAATATTAGAGAAACACTGGAAGCCATAAGCACAAAGACTTCATGAATAGGACTCTAATAGTGCAGGAAATAGTAGCAAGAATCAGCAGATGGAACCACACCAAATTAAAAAGATTCTGCACAGCAAGAGAAATAACTAATCCAGTGAAAAAACAGCCCACAGAATGCAAGAGAAATCTTTGCCAGCTGCTCTTCCAACAGAGGATTCCTATCTAGAATATGTAAATAACTAAAAAAATTAACATAAAAAAATAATAAACAGCCCAAATGAGCAAAGGAATGGAACAGGCACTTCTTAAAAGAAGAAATACTAATGGTTGGAAAGTAGATTAAAAATGCTAAACATCTTTAACCACTAGGGAAATTAAAAATCCCACAGAGATGCTGTGTCATCCGAGTCAGAATGGCTGCCATCAGGCATACAGAAAACAGGAAGAGCTGCCAAGGATACAGGGCAGGAACCTTCTACGCTGCTGATGGGAATGTAAATCAGTACAGCCACTGTGAGTAACAACAGCAGGGAGGTTTCTCAGAACACAGAAACAAAGATGCCATTTAATTCAGCTACAGCCCACCATGGTACATACCCACAGGCATCAAAAGAGATAAGAGCTAGCATACTGCAGAGATGCTGCCTGGCCGTATATATGGCAGCACACTTCACAGTGATTTCCAGAACCAGCTTCACTCGGACCCTGTCAACAGATGAACAGATACGGGACATGTGGTATATGTCCACAGTGGAGTGATAATTGTCAGGAAGCATGGAACTTTGTCATTTACAGAGAAATGGGTGAATCTGGGGATCATCAATTATCATGCTGAGCAGAATAAGCCGGACTCAGAAAGACAAATATGACATATTCTCTTTCTCATATGTGAAACCTAAAGGACAGGACCTGAAATTAGAAAGGACACAACTAGACAAGAGAGAGAAAATGAGGAGGGAGGTGAAAGGGCAGGTTATAGGAGAATAGATATGGTCAAAATAGATTATGAAATTTTGGATGTCACCTAAAATTTCTACTTGAACATATAATATCATTATCAGAAAACATATAACATCATTATCAGAAAAATTAAATACAACATTTAAATGTTCCCATTTTGTAAGTTTCCTCGGAATTAAAATACAGGTCCCATTTTCTTCCCTTGTGAACTGTGGTGTCAGTCCATTGCCATTGTGATATTCTCTGAGATTTTCTCTTAAACAGAGGGTGGTTGGAATCTGCACTCTTAGCATAACAGCTGGGATTTTCAGGACTATTTTCATTTTTGAAAATTTCCTAGAGCCGTGGGATGCCTAAAATACACAGATTTTTTTTTAGCTGTTTTTAGAACAATCCTCAGTATTCACACTAGAAATGATTTTTTTAAAAAGATGATAATTTACATTACTGGCTTGGAAATCAAGGTAAAGTTATCTCATACAGTGGTGCCTCTTTAGTTGGGTCAGAGGGGACTCTGTGGTGGCTCTGGCTATCAGTTTGGTTTGTAGCCTTTAAATTCTTACTAGCAGTAAAAATCATTTGTCACACGTTGACAACATTTAAGCCATTTAGAATCCTTAAGTGGCTAGTCTGGAGGCTATCAGAAAGTGTCTGATGACAGAACAGGCCAGTTTAGGACAAAGGACACCATGAATGAATCAGCTATGGGACACATGTCCCCTGGGAGGCATCATGTGAAGACCACAGACCCTTCGATGTGCTTCCTCCTAGGAAATGGACTTGTTTCCTCCTCTTTCATCTGGACCATGGCTCTGTTGAGCCAATAGAAGATGACAGGACATTATAGCTTCAGGCTCCAGCCATGAGAAACTGGCCAATCTCACTGCCTGTCTCTTGGTAAACTCACTCTCAAAAGCTGGCTGCCAGGCCTGGAGACAACACCGATGCTCCATTTGAGTGAGCCATGGCCACCACTGCAGCCACATGAAGAAAAAGCAGACCCAGCCCTGCAAATCTTCAGGTGATACGGTTACATTTGAGGTCCTGAGCCTGAGCCAGGCAGCTCACAGAACCAGGAGACCCTAGAGCACAATGCTGTTCTAACCTATGAAGCCTGGAGATGTGTTAATAAGCGTTCATTCAAAACACTTGGCACATGCACCATTGATAGCAGGTACTTAAACAAAATTTGAAAAGAGTCACAAGAAACATGACATAAGAACTTGCAGAGCTACCTTTTCAGACAAAAGGAAGCAAGAGCTAGAACTTACTGTTTCTGACATCTGTTATAATCTCATGCAGACAAAAGAAACCAAGAAAAAATCAAAAGCGCTTCATGTTTGGGGGTGATGAGAGGCAGATGTGTGGACGGCGCTTAGCCGTTGACCGCGACCCAGAGCCATGTGGAGTATTATTCTCAGTTCCCCTCTCTCCTTTCCCTTGCTCCCTGCTTTTTCCTCCAATCTCCAGGCTTCTTTCCCTCCCCTCATCAGCAGAGCCTGCCACGTGCCCATGACACAGACCAAGACCACCCAAGCAGGTGTGCATGGAGAAGCCGGTGAACAGGCACTGAGATGAGAGGGCAGTGGCGGGCAGGCCTCGGCCACAGGGCCCTGGGGACTTCCCAAATCCTCTGCTCACCTGCCTTGTCGGACGCCATCTGAGCACAATGAGCCTCTTCCTTATAAATTGTGTGCTGTATTCACTTTGGCCAAGCACAGCAGCAGAAACAGGAGACGTGCATGCATCGCTGCCCTCAATCATAAAGTCAGTGTGTTACTGGGGACATCTCGTGCCTCATTCTCTTTCCAGGTTCCGAGGTTGGTCACGCTGGCTATGATTAAAGAAGGAGCTACCATGATGGACGTGGGCATCACCTACATCTGCGATCCTGTGACAGGAAAGACAAAATTAGTTGGCGATGTGGACTTTGAGAATAAGGAACAAAATCTCTTTTGATAAATTAATAGGAAAAAACCTTAACTTACCTTCTTTGATAGCAGAGAGAGACACTTTCTATTGATCAACTCTTCTCTCCTCTTATAGAAGCGGTTGCTTGGCCTCTTCCTCTCTCTCTCATTTCCTTCTTTTCTTCTCTTCCTGCCTCCCTTCAAATTGTGTCTGACTTTAGGTTAAATATCTCATAATTCAGTTTTTAGTGAAAGAATTCTGACTTTGCAGGTGGCTGCTTAGCTACACTTAGCCATTTTCTGCCCTGTGCTCCCCAAGATAATGTCTGGGTAGTTAATCTGATGCTTTTGCCTTTGTGTTTAAAAAGGAGGAGGAAGGGGACCTACGTTCAAACTTCCATGGCTAACGAGGCTTTCAGCAGCAGTGTGCAGCAGTAAAAAGTAACTCTAAGCCATGGCAGAGGCAGTTCACAGATGCCTGGCCCCTATACCAGTTCTAAACGTTATCTTTGTTGGTCTCTTACCTTCCTGTAAGAACACCAGCTGGGTCGAAGGTCTGAAGATGGTGAAACTTCATAGAGACATTTTCACATGGGAATATTTTACATATAAGGGTGATCACGCTTGCCAGAAAAGGCGAGGGCTGCATCAAGCAATTACTAGTGACAGGCATATCATGTCCTCACAGACAAACTAACTGAAATAGCCAGTGAGATTTTTAAAGCTCAGATTTTAAAGTTTCAGCTGAAATTTGATCACCATCCTAGTATAGTGCTCGATAAAGTAAAAAATTACCAACAACCAGAAAATCTCAGGACTTAATCCCACATACCCAAGATCCTGGGGATAGCAGGGGTCAGAGCCAGAGGAAAAGGTTAATCCTGGAGGTCAAGGAGAGACAGACCCGAGGACGCACCGTGCGGCACTGCCCTCCCCACATAGGTGTGTGTGAGCCTGGCAGTTGGCAGCCCCCGCACGGCCCGCACATGCTGACTGGGCTCCAGTGCTCAGGCACCCCATGCGGTGAAGCCTAGTCTAGCAGGTGTGTGCTCCACACTGCATGTGTGTGTGTGTGTGTGTGTGTGTGTGTGTGTGTGTGCGTGCGCACACATGTGCATGTTGTGTGCACCTGTTGAGATTCTCGCAGAGTGACCTGGTCTCTCTTTTTACCTTTTGTGTTCCCTCACTCTGAGGAATGTCAGCAATTTATTTCAGTTTCCCAACTCCACTGAAAACTGACTTCATCCTCTGGCACTGTTATTCCGTTTCCTGGAAACATTGTAGCTACTAAAGGTTTAATGGAGAATCCCGTGCCTGAAGCACATAGATGGCACTGATGAACATTTTAGAGCTTTTATTGATATAGACAAGCTGCTGTGGCTTGTGTGCCATAGCTTTGTCAGCCCTGGCATAAGGAAACCTGCTCAGAGCCAAGCTCTGGGGCGAGCTCACCCTGGGGCTCACCACACTTTTTTTTTTTTTTTTTTTTTTTTTTTTTGAGATACAGTCTTGCTGTGTAGTTCAGGCTGGTCTCAAACTCACTGTGTATTCCATTCTGGCCTCAAACAAGACAATCCTCCTGCCTCAGCCTCCAGATTTGGGACTACAGGTGTGTACCACCACACCCTACCATACTTACCATGTTTTAGCCAGTTCTTGCCTTGTAGAGTGGTTCTGTGGTCTTAAGTCATTTCTGTGCCTTATTTTCATTAAGCATGGGTTTGCTCCTAAGCTATTTGGATACAATTTTTAAAATGTTCACCTAAGAGTGGGTGTGTATGCTTCACGGCACACACACACACACGTGCACACGCACACACACACACACACACGCGTGCTTTTCTGGCTGCATACTGGTGAAATCAGATCAAACTGTAATGAATGTTTTGTGAAAGGTAGTGGCACTGGATACAAAGCTGCAGTGGGCTGGGGACCTGAGGAGGTCACCTTACACAAAGCACTCTGGCCATCACTGTTTCTGTCCACGACAGCAGTGCCACGGTGTCCCCTTGTCCCAGGGTTCAGTTTCCTGGTGCAGTCAACCAGGAAATTATTCCTGAATTATCTTAAATCATCACAAGAAGCGGGATGGGCACCATGCCATGAGGTGCCCTGAGAGATGGCACCCACCTTCTCGTACCTGTTACAACTCTGTGGTTGTCACTGCTCTGTTTTCTTGGTGGGTTAGCCTCCTGCTGTGTCTAATTGATTCCTTAAATTTAACCTTGGGCAGGTGTGTCCAGGAAAGAACATATGCAGGGTCAGCATTGCCTTCAGTTTCAGGTATCCACTGGGATCTCAGAACTCAGCCCACAGCTGGGGACCATGGTGTGAGTGGTCCTCTCAGCTTTGTGTGTGCTGAGTTGTGGACATTCGGTAGAATGCTATCAGGTGATCTCATAAAAGCATAGAGGCTCCTGGACGGAGAATCAGAGCTTTGTGCTTTCACCATGAAATACACCTCCATGACTGTTGGTACTTCCCCTGTGACCCTGAGTGTTCTCGGAGCCAGCACACCCAGGAGGGTCAAGTGGGGAGAGGAGACCTGGGCAGCAAGGTCATGATGCAGCCACCAAGGAGCAGCAGCAGCACGGGTTCCAGTAGGCTGCAGAGGCTGTGGTCAGGACTTCCCTAGAGTGAGGGACTGTGGTCCACTGGGCAGGAAGGGTCTTCAGCCTGGCTCTGCCCCAGACTCACTGGGAGCCAAGGAGCGATCGTGGCTGCTCTGTATCAATGCCAGTTTCACTGTAACTGCTGCTGAGATCAGCAGAGTAGGCACAGCTGAAAGGAGCTGTGGATGTGAACAGTGGTGGCCACGTCACTGGCATTTTAGTAGCGGGAACTGGGCAGCCCCAGCACAGGACAGAGAGCCCATGCATGGAGATGGCTCATCAGTCTAAGGAGGCTGAGTCAGGGTGATGAGGACAAGGGTGTCCCACAGGAAATGGTGCTGGCATGGAGAAGCAGCACACTTTGGGGCCCACGGAGATGCCCTGACAGGACACAAGGCATAGAGGCAGCACACTAGGGGCAATGTGGTCAGGGCCAGAGACTCGGTGTGGAAAAAGTCACTGAGAGGGCCGCAAGTGCCACACTGACTCTTCAGAGTCAAATAATTCAGCCCCAGCACTTCTGCCCTTCATGGTGCACTGAGGAAAGTTGACATTATTACTACTTTAGCCCCTGATTATTTACAAGCCCAGTTAAGTTGGCTTTTAATGTTTTGGCAAATGTGTTAAAGGTCATCGAGCTAGTGTGGCTTCTCCCATTGATCATTAGGGTTACTCTGGTCTTACATTCCTGTGAATTTGTGTACTGCTATCTGTACACCCAGTAAAGGACTGCGAGATTAGTGTCACCTGGCTCAGATTCATGTCCGATGCCATAGTCACCCTGCCTTATAGTACAACAGTCTCCTGGGAGATTGTGTTTGTGACAGGATCTCACTGCATTGTCCAGGATGGCTTCAAACTCTCAGTGATCCTCCTGCCTCAGCCGCCCACTGGCGCACCCGGTTTCTTGCTTTAGTAGTGTTGCAGTTCTATCCACGCAGGCATTTCAGTGCTGGAGGTATTGTTTGCTTATCACTTTTTTGCAGAGTGGCATATGGGTGGCTTTTCTTCAGATAGCTCCAGGGACCTTTCCTCCAATTCTGTGTCTCTCTGGGCTCTTTGAGGAACAGATAGCGCCTTGGCATACATACTCTGCTGACCTACAAGCTTCTTATAGTGTGGATCCTCAGTTAGAGAACTCAAGGGAGTTTTGACCTCTGACAATACTGTTCCCTTCCGTCACCTGAACAAACCTCCCCTCCAGATTAAGACATCAAAAGAAGAAACAATTTAAAAGCATCCTTCACAGAATTTACTTTTGTGTTCAAGAGTTGTTTTCAGGCAATGAATGATATATCTGAACATTTTGGATTTGCTTCATAGATGAAGGAGTTTTAACAGCAGAATACAGCTGCTTTCGCCTGCAGTTTCTCTTAAGCATTTTGTGGTGTTGCTTGGGAAGAGGCTTCACACCTCCAGACAAGAAGCCTGTATCCTCCAGAGCTGCACACCGTGGCGGAGGCCGCGGTGGTCCTCTCCTGAGTGACACGCTGGAAAGCAGACTCGGGAGCTCCTAATTACCCTGCGCACAGCTGCGGTTCACCAAGTGAATGTGGCCAGCCGCAGTCTGGTAATGATCCCCTCTGTGGCTGCACAGTCAGCACTGCCGCATGGGAGAACTGGAGCCTTGCTACACCTAGCGCCGCGCACACCCAGACCTCTCTGTAATCCTCTGCAGCTTTAATAGCTTTGCCTCTGTTTTGCATGCATTCCACAGGGAGGGGGTGGGGCGCACAGAGCTGGACCGGCTGCTTCCTGCAGCTCCTCCCTCCTCCTGCCTTCAGGCCCCACCACACCCCTCTGCTGCTGGATTCAAAGCTGGGGGAGAGGGGAGGACCAGATGGGGCTGCAGCAAACCCTGGGACCCGGTGCAGGAGATGGGAAGCAGAAGCGCGCGGGGGCGGGGGAGCCCCATAGTGGACGTCCTCCCTGTGCTGTGGGGGAGGGGCCGCTCGTAAATAGGGAAGTGAGTGGAAGCACATTCCAGTGCTGATGAAACCCATTTACCTTGAACCAGTAAGGAAACCACATTTTATGGGAAAGCTCTGCCTCTCCAGCCCAACTAATATCAATCATTAGGAAGGGTGTTTTGTTTTGTTTTGTTTTGTTGCTATAGCTGTTTCAGGAGATGGCGTGCGTATGCGTTTCACATAGTTGGAGAGATGCATGACTTACACATTTGTGCCTTCATCAGCCAGTTTTCCTGCTAAGGCTGTAGCGCACAGTTGTGGTTAGCGAATGGTAGGTATCATAATGTGCTTCACCTTCCTGTCTTGTACAGTGCTTGGGTTGTTTGCATTTTCTTCAGAAGTATGTGTGCAGGTGGGTTAAGCTGCAGGACAGAGGGACACCTAAACCTAGGGTAAGTTAGCTTGCAGTCAAGCAATGAAGGGAAGGAGGCAGATCTCGTCA